GGAAGGTACCTTTCTAGTGGAAGCCTGTCCCTGGGTCCTGCTGAGTGCCCTGGGCTCAGGCTCTTGCTGAAGCTGTAGAGAGGCAGAGGTCTCTGGGTTTCCTGGGGCTTAGGTCACACAGGCAGAGGAAGGAGAGGCCCCGTGGTAGGGGTTTGACTTGAACTCTCTGCCTACAGATGAGAGGTACAAAGAGGGTGGGTGCCACCGCCACTCCCAACTCCAGCAGACCCTACTGAGTCCCTCTGGGACTGGGAGGGGGCTGGGGTTGGACCTGAAGAGGACTGTGGGCAAAGTCAGGGCTGGGAAGGGCTCTGGGTCAGACCTGGGCCAGGCACCCAGTGGCTTGGCTTACTGATGGCTCCGTGGTGCGGCCTGGGCTCAGCCTTGGGTGGGGCTCAGGGCAGCCTGCCCAGGGCGTGGATGCTGGACCAGCATGCGAGGGTCCTGCCCTCTGGGCTAACCGTGCAGCCTCACGCCCTTACTTCCAAAGCAGCAGGCACAGGAACAATGCGGGCTCGTGGACCTCACATGGGGCCGCAGGAGGGAATGTGATAGGAGCCCCGGGACCACAGGAGTAGATGCACTGGGTCTCCCCACCTGGGCTCTGAAGGTTGGAGGCTTCCTCCTAAGAGCCCGTCCCAACCTTTGAAGAGCACCTGACATGAGGGAGCCTCCACCCCACACCTGCCGGATGCCCCATGTCCTCTGAGGGCTCAGTGTGGAGGAGGGAGCCCTTGAGGACAGGCAGGGGGGGGGGGGGTACGGGGGCGGGTGTGGGCCCACGTGGGAGACTCAGTCAGGCCTCGCTGATTTCTGAGCCCTCCTTGACCTCTGTGAGATGGCAGCGAGATGCTCCTGCCCACCTCCTTAAGGACGCGGAGCGTGGTGGCCCTTGGGGTGCTGAGGTTGTGCCCGCCGGACCCATGACCTGGCCCTTACTGAGCTGAGGCTGAGTGCGCAGAGGGAGCCACCAGACCTCGTGCAGGCCGTGGTGGAGGAATGGCCTCGAGTGCTCGAGAGAGGGCGCAGTATATCTGGGGGGGATATTTACGCCACTTCAGTACAAGCTGAGACAGGAAACAGGAAACCCCAAGGGCGCCTTTCTCTGCAGCAACAGCAGCCTGGGGGTGGGGGGTTGCACCAGGGAGCAGCAGGGGGCTCTGTGGGGATGCAGAGCAGGGGGGTAGTGCTGGTGCACCTTGGGGCCACCCTTCCCTAAGACACAGAGGATGGGGCAGAGGACCAGACTCTCTCAGGCAGTCCCCTGGCTCCCCCTTTGGGGTGAGCTCTCTCCCTCCCCTGCCCTCCCCTTGGGCTCTGCCTGCTCAGCTCCTGCCTCGAGCTGAGCCCCATTGAAGCCCACTGCTGGCCACCCACCCAGCAGGCTGCGTCCCTCCCTTCTGTCCCTTTGGAACCACCCTGGGTCCCCTCATTCTGGTGTCACTCCCTCCACCCCACCACCCGCCCTGACAGCAGCGGGTCTCAGAGGCTCTAACTTGGAAAATGGAGAGAACTGCCTGCAGCCCAAGCCCCCTCCGCTCTGCTCCTGCCGCAGTTTCTTTCTCTTTTGGCCAAGAACAGCGTCTGCAGCAAGTCCTGGTTCAGAGGCTCATCCTGGTTGTGGGGATCCTGGGCAGGTGGCCAGCAGGTTCCTGAGGAGAGACATGGAGCTGCCGTGAGAATGGGGCCCTCCTCTCTGGAGACAGGCCCCCAAAGCTGAGGCTCTGAGGCTGGGTAGGTCCCCATCCTTCCCTGCCTGTGTCCCGCCCCGCTCCTGCTCCTGTTGTTCCCCGTGGCCGCCCTCCCTAGTCCCTCCTCGGCCACTGCTCTCACGCTCTCATCACTGACGTTCTGGCTCTCGGGCCTACCTATGACCCTTGTTATAGCCTCACCTGGGGTCACAGGGACACGCAGGAGAGCCCCAGCCGTCCCAGCAGCTTCTCCATCTGTGTCTCTCATCACATGTACCTCATTCAGAGGAAATCCCCCAAAGTGGCAGGAGGGCACATCCTGTTTTGAGGTAACTCTTGGTAAAAATCCATCAGGGTAGGAGTCCCTGGGGATGACAGAGACTAGTTTTCCGGGTCCTAATTTACCAACAAAGGGATAGAGGCTGGAGCAGGGCGATCGGCCCACCCTGGCTCCAAGGATGATCTCGGGTCACCTCTGAGCCTGTCCTGGGCTCACTTGAGTAATCCTTCCCCAGGCACTGAAGCCACAGAAGCTGCTGCTTCCCCTCTGCCCAGAGGGGGAGACTGAGGCCCTGGGGTGGTCCAGGCATCTACTCCCGTGAATCTGCTCCCACCTCCCCAGGTGCTGTACCTCCTCCTCCTGGGACCCTGCAGAGCTGCTCTGCCCACGTGCACAGAGGAGTACCCTGTGGGCACCCAGTGCTGCCCCAAGTGCAGCTCAGGTAGTTGCAGCCCTGGGAGGGGCCGGCCCTGTGGGACCCCCTGAGGACCAGCACTGTGGAACGAGGGTGGCCACTCCTGCCCTTCCAGGACCCCTCTGTTCTTGATCTACCATAATGACAAGCAGGAAGCCCCGGCCCTGGGGACACAGACAGCCCTCCATGACCAGAGGCCGAGGGTCAGAGGAGGACAGTGCCAGGACAGAGCCTGTGGGGGCGTCTTACAAGGAACCACATTCTACTAGAACTTTCCTATTGCCCCCTAGGCACGTAGCACATTCCAGAAAGAAAACTGGGACCTGTATGTTCCTGAGGAAAACAGTTCAGGTGCCTTTGAGTCTCAGGGAAGGGGTCACATCTGTTTGTGATGCCAGGCAGACTGATGGGTGGGCTCTGAGAGCTGGCAGCAACCCTGAGAAGCTGCCCACCCTCTGAGCTAGCTGCAGGGTCCCGGGTGCAGCGTGTCTGTTCTGCGTGTGTCCCCTGCCCTCTGGACACCTACATGCCCCACCACAATGACCGGGGACCCTCTGCGTCTTTCTTCCTCCTTCTCCTTTGCTGCTGCTGTTCCTTGGAGTGCCTCTGAGTATGGCATCTCTAGAACTGTGTTGTGTCTGAGTGGGATTGGCAGGGGGTCCTAGGTGGGCAGGGGCAGGGCCCAGAAACTCAGATACGCTGGGCTGTGGCCTGTCACCCAAACCCCAGGCCTGCTGGTACTGTCCAGCCTCTGCTTGGTTCCTCCTGGGACGGGGCATCTCCACTGCCCACGGCAGCCCAGCAGCCTCTCAGCTCCTTCTCTGGGGTCCCAGCCAGGGGCCTGGTCACCAGGAGGAACTGCTCCAGCACAGAGAACACCTGTGTGGCTGCAGCCAAGGCCACTTCTGTGACGTACAGGACGGGGACCACTGCATCGTGTGCCAGCCCCACACCATCTGCCGGCCTGGCCAGAGGATGCTGGAGAGAGGTGAGCTGGCAGGTGACAGATGCCTCCCATAGCCCAGCCCCAGGTGTAGACATTTGGGCTGCTCAGAGTTGTCTGATGGGGCAGAAACTGTGGCCATCCCCAGGCCTGGCCGCCCAGTCTGTCCTGGATGCAGCAAGGATGGAAAGGCTGCATGGGGAGGGGGAAGGGGGCAGGGGAGGACAGGGACAGTGGGGGAAGTAGGGAAGGGCCACTGCTGTTGGCTCCACCTCAAAGTTAGGGGACCCTGACATCATGCCTCCCTCTCAGGCATCAGGCAGGGACCCAGATGCACACGTGGGACTGCTCAGTGCCTCAGTCCACTCTCACTGGGAAGAATGTGAGTCCCCAGCTCACCACCCCTGGCCAGCGCTCCCTCCACAGCATTTGTCTGTTAACGGAGTGGGGCCCAGCCGATGTAAATCCACCACACTCCAGATTGCTGTCTAAGATTCCCAGTTGGGGTCAGCCACTCCCCTACCAGGTCCCTCAGCAGAGCTGGAAGGACCACAGAGACAGACCCCAGCTCCTGCAAGAGAAGGGAAGCTCAGCCCCTCATCCCTCCCTCTTTGTCTCTCAGGTACCGAGAGCCAGGACACGGTGTGTCAGGATTGCCCACCAGGGACCTTCTCTCTCAACGGGACCCAGGAGGAATGTCAGCCCTGGACCAGGGGGGTGCCAGGGAAGGGGTCCTCCACACTCTCCTGGGAAATGTGGACCCACCCCAGCAGAGACCCAAAGCTCCACCCTAGGTGGTACCTGGTGGCACCTACCAGCACCCAGGAGAGCCCCTCACCAGGCGTGAAGCCTGTGCCCCGAGGTCAGGCTGCAGTGGCCCCAGACCAGAGCCTCAGCAGCTCCAGCTTCCTGGAGGTCAGGGTGGACTGGAGGAGTCTGACCTGGTAGGGCCCCAGGATCTGTCTTGAGCTTTTGACCTCTACCTCTTAGGTCGAGTCAGCATGTTGGCAAGGCTGCTGCTGTGTATCCCCCCAACCTAGGAATAAAACTTGGGTCGAATTAGCATGTCAGCAAGGCTGCTTGCTATTTGCTCCAGAAAACTGTGGTAGCCTTGCTGGGAAGCGAACCCCTCTGACTCCCTGATATACCATAAAGAATTACATAGCTCTCTTATACATCCTGAGTATATGATAAAATTTTCCAGGAAGTCCCCTGACCGCTCCCCTTTGCTCTGACCACCTATCGTTAATTACAATGCTTTACTCCGGACAGTCACAATAGAGTGTGATGAAGTCACATCTAGGCAGAAATCTTCTTGACCTTTGGAAGGCCCTTCAAGATACATTTAACATAAACTTAAAGATAATCTTTTCTTTACATAAAATAGGATTAGGCCAAAACTGGCCCAAGACACCCCTGCCCTCACCAAGTCAAATAGATAAATATATTAGGATTCCTTAAATTAAGTTTTTGATCCCTATAAAACTATGTAAGTATCATTCTTTATTAAGATCCATAAGAACTAATATCTATACTTGAGATTTTCTTTTCTCAGCACCATTCCCGGTAATCACAAGACGGCTGCTGTGCCGCATCAGCTGATAATCATCTCTGCTTGCTGGAGCCACTTTCCAGAAACTACATTCCATGAAGACCCCCCTACATCTAACGAACAATTGTGGAACTGCACTAGACCCACCCTTAATCCAACCCTAAATAGAATCTATGTTCCCTGTTGTTAAAGCTTTATGAGCTGATAATTGAAACACGTAGCCCCTCTCCCACTTACTTGCATGTATCACATTTTCAATAAAAATGCACGATGATTCCTAGCAGTGGTCACTCCTCAGAGAGCAATCTCTGGGGGTGTCCAGTTAAGGACGTGCATGAAAAAGGCACCGAGGCCTTAGTCTTCTTCTTTTCCGGCGTCGCCTCTGATGAGTCAATCCACCCCCACCGAGGCTGGACCCCGGCAGTGGACTTTACAGCAGGGAGGGGAGCTGCTGACACATCCTGTCCCCTGTGGTCTGGTGTGGTCCTGGGTGATAGGGCTGTTGGGGTGACTTCCTGCACTTCTGGTTTGGGGTGGCTGTCAGGGGAGGTTTTCAATGAGAGTACTGGGCTCCTCCTGACGCATGGCCCCTTCCAGAGTGTGCTCAGACTCTAAAGCTCACCTGGGTGCTCTGAGCGTGTCAGAGTAGCTCATGGTGGGCCAGGTGTGGCTGCTCAGTGCGGGGTGCAGGGCCTCCCTCTCCTTGGGCTCTCGTGTCCTCGATGTGCAGTGCTGTCCCTTACATCTTGGCTCTGGCTCTCATTGTCCACACCCTGATGCCAGCTCTCCCTCACTCTCTGTCCCTCTCTGCTCTGGGCTCTGGCCTCCCGACCACCTTGGCCCGCTTCTCTCTCTCTCCTCTCCCTTTGCTAATTTATCCTTGTGTTTGTTTCCTCCCTCCCTCCCTCTCTCTGGCCTTTATAGTGGAACTTGGAAAAGCTGGACAGACCCGAGGCCGCCTCCCTTAGCTGCTGACCAGTTAGCCTCTCCAGGCTCCTATTCAGGGAGGCCCCGTCTGATTTCTGAGCAGTTCTCAGCATCTGCCAGCTGGCTCCACTTCTCTCCCAGGTGCGATGGTTTCCTTGTGACAAAGAACTGGGGACCAGCAGCACAGATGCCACCTGCTCCTTCTGGAGGCGGAACCTATTGTTGTACACTCTTGTTGTCTGCGTTCTTGTCACCATTGTACTTGGACTGTACAAAAGGCAATAGCATTGATGCTGACAGAGGTGTTGCATTTCAGCGACCCCCCTCCCCCCCAGGCATTGGTCCCTACAAGGCTGTAGGTGGGGGATCACAGGAGAAGGTGTTCGCTCCTCCCCACGGAAAGCTGACCCAGAATGGGAGAAGTGGACTTCCTGACCAACCTGACAGATGGCATGTTGCAGGACAAAGATAACTCCCTGCCCGCGAGCCACTGCCACACCATACTCACTCACTGGCAGGAACGCTGAGCCCGGGGAATGAGCTAGAAGACCAGTACAGGCTGCCCTCTGGGAATAGGCTCCGGGTTAGAGAGTCAGGAGTTGCCCCATCATGGCCAAGCCTGTGTCCCCCTGAGAAGACTGAGGGTCACTCATTCGTTCATGTCCTCATCCACTTCTCTGCCCTGCACTGTCCTTGGTGTCCCTGATGTCTAACCCCACTCTGGCTTGGAGCTGGCATAGTCCGTGGGAGAGCAGGCACTAAGCAAGAAAGCTGGGAGAGGAGGTCCAACAGGAAGCCCAGAGTGTGGAGTCACCCCAGCATGGCCATGGACCTGTGTCCCCTGATCAGTGGCTCAGGCCCCTCCCTGACCTGTGAGTTCTGTCTGTGACAAGGAAAGCTCCAAGGTGACATTCTGTCTCCAGGTCATCCTGCTCATCTGCCACTCGCCTCACCTGAGCCCGTGCTACTGGGTGGTGCGGGAGGTTCCCAGTTCTTTGAGGGTCCTGAGTCCTCAGTCTACAGCCATGCTCGCTCTGGAGAGGAGGACAGAACTCCTCAAATTAAACAGCAAAATGGCCCAGAGAGGCTTGAGGACTATGGAGCAGAAGCCATAGAAGGCGGCGTCTTCCTGCCAAATTTACCCAGCTGAAGAAAAGACAGGATGCGGAGGTGAGGCCACGGTCATTGAGACCCTGCAGGCCCTGTCGGATGTCACCACGATGACTGTGGAGAAGACAGCACCTGTGTCCACAGGGAGGGACCCCAACTGCCAATCAATGGGCTCCAGGACAGATTTCTGAGGCATCTTAGCTGACGCCTTCTGAAAGCTGCCTCCTCCTGGCCAGACCATGGGAGCCTGGGCGGGTTGGTGGGAGCTGCCCTGGGCTGGCTTCAGACTCTACCAGGTGAGGGAGAGACGAGGATGCTGCCTTGTGGACAGCAAGATGCCACCTGTGATCCCTACCAGGCAAATGAGGGCCGAGAGTTCTGCCCTCTCCGCTGAGTCTGGTCAGGCTACCTCCAGGGACCCAGCTCCATGGGGAACACTGACAGCCCCTCTTGTTTCCAGGAGTCCTGCCCCCCAGCCCTCAGCAAGCCGGGATGGCTCTGGCACAGCCCCAACTCTGTGCCCTACCTGAGTCTTTGTGAGCCTCGGCTTGCTCATCTGGAGGATGGGCAAAGCTTGGGGCTGGGGCTAGACTGGCCGGGCCACGGATGTGTCATTAAATGGGTGTCACATTTGAAGTGATCCTCTGGGCTGGGCTTATATCTGCGCCGTGTTCCCCCCGTCCATGTGGAGAATGTTCCAGGCAGACACTTAAGATGAGGTCGATGGCCTCTTTCACATCAGACTTTCACATGTTGATGTTAGTGCCTGAATCAGGTGGAAATTCCACTGGCGGGACTGCAGAGGTGAGCTGCCAATCTCCCAGCCCCACCCCTGCCCCTCCACACCCCACCTCTTCTCACTACTGATTCCTATACAGCCTCTGTCTCCTCTGGGCATCCTTCCCCTTGGCCAGGCAGCTAGTGGGTATCGGGCGGGCCCAGCCCGGTCACCCAGAACCCTGGTCCAGGAGGGAGCAGCTCTTGCCTCTTGCCAGCAACCCCTCCCCGGAGCTGAGTGAGGGTAGAGATCGGGGTGCTCGCTGACCTGTGGGTCCTGTCTCTGAAGCTGAATTTCTTGAGAAGATGGACAGGTCTGAGGTCGAATCACTCCAGCAGCGCTTGTCAGGTTGTACCATGGGGACACTGCTGACCCACTGCTGCCCCTGCCCTCAGTGCTCATGCAGTCACTGGGCTGAGCCCTGCTCGTCCCTCTCCTTGCGGCCCGCTCCCCAGCCTGAGTGTGCTCTCTCTCTTTGGGGGCCCCAAACTTCCCTGTCTCTCCCTTCGACCACCCTCCTCGGCCTATTCCATGGCAGGGACGGTCCCCAGTGCTGGAGGGAAACTGCGACGGTGTGGGAGTGGCTTCTCCCACAAGGTTCATGGTTTGGAATTTGGATGTCCCCCAAAACCCATGTGTTGGGCCTTGATCGTACTGTAAAGGTGTTTAGTGAAAACTTAGCTCCGTTTTGCTGTCCCAGTGTGGGTTGGGGTTTTAGACATGATAACCTTGTTAGGGCAGGGCCCAGTGATCGGGTAATGGCGGGCACAGGAGCAGAGAGAGGGGTGGCAGCTTGTGGTTATAGACCATGACCTGCTCTGCTCAGACTTCTGCCTCCGCCATGTTCTGATGCCTTTGGATTTCCTAATTTCCAGAATTGTGACTTTTGCAATAAACCTCTTATTTCTTTGTAAATCACCCAGACTTGGGTCTTTCTGTGAGCAATGCAGTTAGATACCAGCACTGTGAGGATACTGGCTCCTCTTTGGTAGAAGACTCTGCCAGGAGACCAGCAGGTGGGGGAGGGGCGTCTCCACCTGAGCAGGGAGGGATGCACCTTGTTGGCACCCAGGTGGTCCCAGGGAGTCCCTCAGAAGTCTCTGGCCCGGTTGTGACAGCCCGCATGAGACGGCCAGCACAGCTGGGAGGACACAGTGAGCAGGCCCGAGCCCTTGTGGCTGAAGACCCGGTGGGCAGAGGGTGAGGTGCCTGCCTGAGTGTTGGGACAGGAAGTGATGCTGTGGGGGCCTCGCCAGCCCATATCCAGTACCCTGGTAAGGCTGCTCCCAACTCGACCTATGGAGCAGGTACTCAAGGGAGGAGGCCAAAGCCAGCACCACTGAGCTGCGTCCTCACCTGGGGCTGCCCTCACCCAGGCCCATTCCTTAGTGGTCTCTACAACCACCTCAGAGACAAAGTCTTTTTCCATCTGGCGGCCTCATTCTACAATGCAGGCTTTGTGATTCTTCAGGTGTGGGGAGGCCAGCAGACAACCACTGAAGAGAATTAAACAACCCACTGAATGGTTTATTGCTCACAGTTTGCAGAAGGAGCAGTTCGTACCATAAAGGACCCATGGGG